ATTAGGGGATTGCAGAGTGTACAGTACATAGAAAAATGCAGAAAAACACTTAAGCACCTGCATCTATGGGACTAGAATCCCATATAACACAATTCACTAACAGTCCTGGAACTGTGCTAAGACCAACTTTGCCCATGGAGTGCTGTGTAAAGCTGTGTTATTATTATGTTCCTAAATGGCATCTACATAATGTGCAAAAAATTGCTTCTGTATAAATCACTGAGATTTAGAAAAAAAACCTGAAAACACCTATTTAAATATTGGCATGGTTTTCCTGTGTTTTTACACAATTCTGTCCTCAAAAGTTGGATAGTGTCCAATCATCATATCTGCTTTGAACTATTATTAGTCTGTTATTCTTAACCTGTCAAGGATATAGCTATTACATGAATATCATCATTTCCTTATAAGACACAATGTATTTAATCACAGATCACAGTATTCACCTGCAATGATTCCAAAATTTAGAAGATTGGCCAAGCCTTTTGGTAACAAGTTAATTTTCTACCAGAAAACTTGGGCAATTTCTGAGAAGAGTTCCAGACCTCAGTGCCATGCTACACAAACTCTTCTGGAATCTGTTCTTTTTGCCTCCTGTTACATTCATGACTGCCTATTCTTCACTCATGGGTCTTCTGCTGCCAATATGAGTAGAATTAACTCTTTTTTCACAAGTAGGTAATCAGTGCAATCAACTAAGGCAACAGGATTTACTCCTTGGTTTAAAACTTATCTTTTAGGGTTCATTACTCGGATCATAGTCCCATTAAAGTAACTGGCAAAAATCCCCAGATATCAGATATTAGATGCTTGTATTACAAACTACTGTCAACAAGGATTAAATTCTGCTTGCCATTCACACCTACCCAGTCCTTCTGCAGCTTGTAATTCTCTGCATAAAGAGGGAGAGACATGCTTGCATGCACATTGTCTCCCAGATTTTCTATTGCAAATACTCTGTTTTATTTTTTAGCTTAAACAAGCTAATAAGAAAATGATTAAAAGAGATGGCAAGGTTAAATAACATTGGTAAAAAAATATTAAAAGTTGGCAAAAAATACATTTCTGTTTTGAAAGCATGATGCCTTTTCTCAAGAAATGCTAGAAAGGGGATGCACAGCATGCAGATATCTGATTTCAAAGCTGGGCACAGAGACAACCTCACACTGAAGATGGTAAAGATGAGTAGATAAGCGTAATGCTGACAGCCTAACCTGAAGCCCTAGAGATGTAACCCTGTTTGATGAGTACCTTAGGAAATGTTCCTTGTGAAAAAAGGAAAACCTAATGGTTTAAATCAGATCAAGGGTCGAATATGATTTTTGCATTGTTACCTTCATTGCAGCAGATATTTCAGTGACTCTGAAAGAACCTACAGAATGAATTAATCTGCTCTTCATTATGCAACAAAAAGGAACATCTTTTATTCCTGTACAGAACTGATTCTGGTCCTTCCAGTAACTGGATTTTCTTCTGTTCTAGTCAAAAAATGTAGGACAGACAACAATAGTTTTTAATCTTCCTGCACATCTTGGAAACATTTTTTTAATGATTTTCTGCCAACGCTCTTCTACTGAGAGCTTTCACATGGTTCACAGCTAATGTAATCCTACATTTTAAAGAGGATGGATTACAGAGAATTATCCTCCTATTTATATTGCAAGTGGTGAAAGGAACCTTTTTATTTTCTCTGATACAGTTTTATTTCAGAGCAGTGGCCTGGAAACAACTGTGCCATTATGGTCAGCTTGTGCCTTTGGTCACACCACCACCCGAGTAACTAAGAGGAAGAGACACCTTTAAGGCATAAATTTCCCTGTTTCCCTTCACTTCAGAAGTAGTGAAATGATTTTTTCTTTTTCTTTTTTCTTCATAAGCCAGTATTGGTGTTATCACGTGATTCACTTTCTCCTGCTGGCTTTCATTTCTTTTTTGACCGTAAGTTCATTCATCCTGGCACTATAGAGAGATCAGATACTATGGGAATCCATTTTTAGCTGCTTCCATTTTACTTCATTAACAACAAAAATAAACTGCAGTAATTTGCTATTCCTGTCCTCCTCTATCTCCCTGTTATACATCAAAGGTAAGGTAGAGAGTGAGTTTCACTAGTTCGTCATTTGTTCTTCCCCCTTCTCCAACCCATACTCTTGGCATGAAGGTGAGAAATAAAAATTCCAAATAGTTCCTCTCTTTCCTACACCTAAATCAGGTTCAGATAACACACTTGTATAAGTGCTCTGTGGAAACATGCACAATCTAATATTTGATACCCACTTCTTTTTGCTGGCAAACAACAGGTTCTCACTGTTAAGACCCTACTAAACATTTAACATATGTGGTGGCCAACATAACACTGCCTTACATGCAGTAGAAGTTCTTGGTGAGAAAGATTTCTGGAGAAAGTTGCACAAATGTCTCCTTCCAACTTCAGGCCAAAAGGCAAGAAGGCCCTTCATGCTCTTGTTTTCATGGAACAGAGAGGAGAATTACACTGATATGTTCAGCCCTCTGCTTTTCCTTGTTTTAAAAAGTGGTGTTACAATATTTACCTAACTAACAAACACAGTGAAAATTTAGGCCAATACACATTCAGAATATATGACCTATTTCAAACAACGCATAAACTAACGCCAATGTCTAAACTAAGAAAACAAGATTTCCTGGTCCTTGATTAAAATTATTTAAAAAAAAAAGTCTTAGGTGTATTGCTTCATAAACATTTACAGTGGTCACAAGCACCTGTGAAATTATTGCTCAAGTATAATACTTGATTTGAAGTATTTAAGAGGGAATTAATATAGCAGCTCTTTGTGCATATAGCAGAAGGAAATGCAGCTCATCTACAGTCAAATAAACTGCTTGCACTTTCTTGCAATATGGAGCAGAAGATGATGAACCAGCTCAACCAACACACCTGTATGCAACTGACCTTGAATCCATCCAGCTGCACTGTCTTTTTCTACAGTAAGAATTAATCTGCAGAAGGATCTGTTTGCAAAATGAAATATTCACACTGTACTTAAAGTGTGAATTAAAGCCATTTTTTTCCTGCCACAGAATTTTTGCATCAGTAATTATTTCTTGGAAATCAGAGTTTAGCTGAAAGCTGCTTAGATGCAAGAGACAAAAACTCTGGCTTGCTCACCTCCAGCTGATGTTCTTCAACTCTGCCAGAATTCTGTTTGTGCAGCTGCTGTGCTGCTTTTAAAGTGGGAGAAGAATGAAATCCCTTCATGATTGATTAATTTTTTTGTTTTGTATCTCTGGACTCATTTGGAGTAGATAATTATGGGGTTCCTGCAGATGATCAATAGATTGTTCTCGCATACCACCAAGACTGTTTGCAAGTGATCCTTAATAAACAAGGGGATAGGAAGCCTGATAGATTCCCAAGTTCAGTTCTCAACACAGTTCATGTGAATATTTCTTGATCACTGCATGCTAGATTAGCCTTGAGGGAAAGTACTAAGCAGAGCTGTTTCATAATGAACAGGCTACTTTCTGCCTCAGGGGAACACTGTAGTATTCTGAAGGTCTTCCTGCCCATATAAATCACATTGTATGTATTATGCCACATAACCAGGATGCAGAAGTCATTCCTTTGCTTTCCCTTTGGTTGATGAGTCTTATCCATTCAAGGAATTTTGCATTTCCAGGATCTGCCTGGAATCAATCTGCAAAGAGGATCTATGTGTAAGTGGTACTTAGGGACTTGGTTTAGGGGAGGACTTGGCAGTGTTAGGTTTATGGTTGGCCTTGTAGATCTTAAAGGTCTTTTCCAACCTAAATGATTCTATGATCTGACTCAAGTCAACATGGAAACCCCCTGTGAGTGAGTTTTTTTGGAGGATTTTGATGGACCAGTGCAAAACAGCAAATAGGAGACACCAAAATCTGACCCACAACTCTTAAAGCAAGTATTTGAACAATCCTAAGAATTAGATTGATGGTGCAAGTCCACAAGATTTTTACACTTAGTTAAGAAGTCGTTGCTTTAATATTTTTATATCTTTTTCCATAAAGCGGTTCTACTCCAGTAGTCTGGTACTCCTGAATGCTACAGTAACAAATTTTTTAGTGGTGAACAACACAGAGAAAAAAAGAAATATAGTTTCAGGATCTTGAGGAATTATGATAGATAAATAAGGCAAAAATAACTAAAAGAGCTCTGAAAAGTCTTGAGTTTCTTTAAAACCAATAGTGCACAACAAATGAAATAAAAGATGTAATGCTGACATCACTAAACTTCAGGGCTGGTATCTCTTAAAATTAGTCTTGCAGCCCAGGCCTAAGGAATACTCCAAGCCACTCCTTGACAAGCGTAAGCAATGGGACAGTTGGAAGTGAAGTAATATGATGAACTGCTGCTGGAGGGCAGGGGAAATAGGTCCCAGCATTTTGGGTTGCCTAGGAGCCCAAATGGAACACAAACCCCATGAGCAGCTGAATTTTTTCAGACTGCATCATTACTTTGCTTGTGTTTCAAAATCTTTTAATTCTTTGATATCTTATAGAGCATACACAGGACTATCCCATACACAGGACTATCACGTAATCTTCAATTTTCAGGTATGTAAAGCTATTTCATTAACAAATTGTTCTATGCTTACTCCAAATTGACCTAAATTATTACTATTTGCCATAGAAATATTTCCAGTGGCTATTTCTTCCCATCTGTAGCTATTAGTCAAGGTGACATAGGAAGTGTTGAAATGGCAGATCTTGTTAGAACACTAATAGGAAAAAAAGTTAATAATTCTTCAAGTTAACTTTATGACCAATTAATCATACAGTGGGATGAGTGCTGGAGGCATTCTGTTCCAGATGCATATCCCAATCTACCTGCACTAAAGCACACCTCAGGAAGACAGCTTTGTGGTTGAAATATAAAGCAGGCTGAGCTAAGAGAAATCCTCTTCTGGACTACCAGGAATTCAGACTATGAAATAAAATCTTTTGCATTTTGCAAATGTTATGCAATGCTGTGTCACTCTTACCTCCATGGGAAAGGCCTTAAAATTAACTGTGTGTTCAGAACCACGCTGGTTTTCTCTCCCCCAGTGAAATCGAACGTCGTGTAGCTCAAACTCATGTCCCCGAGGTAATGGCCCGCCTATTAACACTGGGAAAGAAGAAAAGTGGTAAGGAACTTGACTTTCAAGGCAGAGAAGCCACTGAAGCAGAGAACCAGTTGTATTCTTCAAATATAATGAGCAGATTGTAGCAAGCTTCTTTTTTATGAGTGGTACCAGAGAGGAGAAGAGTAAAGTTGACAGACTTGACACCTTCACTTTCAAAGTATTTTGTGGATACAGAACATGAATTGAGGCAGCTATGTGAAACTGCTGTCATACTGCACTCTTTGTTTTATGATGTAGAACAGCTGGACACACCACCAAAAAAAAAGTGTACCTTTATCAGTCAGAAGAATGAATATGTTTATTGCTCTTATCAAGATATTAGCCATGTGCTCCGAACAGATGGTAGGGGTTCTGAATTGAACTGGGAAAGTTGTCCAAATGCTTACTCTCCATGACCTATATTTGCTATGAGTCACAGAAATTAATAGAAAACTTTGATTGCAAATATATTGCTAGGTAAAGGTGTTCAGTCAGGCTGACCACCTGTCAGACTTCTGAGACACAGAATGCCTCCATATGAAAATATAATCAGACCTACACACCAGAGCAGCAACAACATACCTCACTTAGCTTAAAACAGCTTCTAGGCAGGTAAGGCTTTTCTTTACTTCCTTTATTTAAACATCCGGAATTTCTTAAAAGCATTTGTCCACAATTGCAACACAGGCACAAAAAAAAATTATATAGCAACTCAATACTTTTGCATTAGTAGAGACTTCCACCATAAGCAGTAAAAACAAGCAATTGTGAGGCCCGAACTACTACGGAATTAATCAGTGGAAATGTTTTGCCCAGGGATTTCTGAATCTGCCTCAGATCAAATATCACACCACATGCTGGAGGCAACTTCCCACTAAAATCATTGAATACTGACTTCTAGCCAGGGCTGGATTTTATTTAAGGGCACACACAGTCTTTCCCAGAATCCATTAAATTCTAACTTACATTTCATGGACTTGGAATGAATCTTTTACAATTTCTGGTAATTAATAAGAATTATTTAGCTGCATAAACTCCAGCTTCAGGAAATTAATTCCATAATACAGTTATTTTGCCACACAAACTGTACAGCCTGAGTTTGGAGCACAAGACATAGTGTGATACTAAAACATAATCTAGCAATTGAATCATATTTCAACCGTACAAATACAAAACTGAAGATACAGAACTATAAAAAACTGAAAGAAAACTGACCAATTTTGGTTTTCATGAGCATCAATTAGGTTGGAGTAAAAAAAAAGTCAGAAATTCCAATTAATCCTTCTTTCATAATTCCTCACAACTAATCTACCAGCCATTAGGATTTCTAAAATTAATTTTCCTAATTGTATAGATTCAGATTGGCTACTTAATCTTGTTTTATCTGTATTCTGTCTATACCTATATCCCCTACAGAGAAAATCTACAAATCTGGTAAACACTGCGGGAAACGACGATTGAAGTATTTAAAGAAATACGAATAAATATAAAAAATCATATTATTCAATTAGTGCTATTTCGTAGGAAAATTGAGCATTTTCTCTGTTTTAAAATATTGCTTCTAGGAAAACTCTAACTAGAACAAATGTTCTCTATAGGATGTAGTCATGGATGTCCAGGAGCTTCATAGAGTTTATTTCCGAAGCTTAAGCTATAACATTGATCCCATGATATTTAGACGTATGAAGTAAGTTTATCTTTCCTTTGCCTTTCATTAGATCTTGATTCTTGTCAATGTATGAAACATGTTTAACTTCACTTTGTTGTTCAGCAATTTTTGATCCTCATTAGAAAATGTTTCTGAAACGATGATCCACTGTGCAATCTGCTGCTGGCTTAAGAGAAGTCTCTCTCTTAGTAGGATATGCTCTAAAGCATTTTTCAGTACACAATTCCATTACACAGTTGGTCATGGTTCTTCCACTTAATGCATAACACATGTACCAGCATCAAAACGAAAGCAGCCAGTGAAAATGTTTGCAATTAAATAATGAAAAGGATTTCGGAATTCCAGATGGACTGCATGTCTTGAATTAAAAGATGAAATCAATCACCAGTAATGACAAATTGATTTTTAATATGCATCTTAATCAGTTTACTTTTTTCCATAAAGAAGTTTTCCTTTGACTGTTAACATTACAGTAGATGAGGATCTCTTGCACATTAATTGGACAGAGTTTCAAAAGCATTTAATGCTCAACAGTTCCCATCAAAATAATCTGGTTAAATGGATTTGTCATCAGAGATCCCCTGTGAGGAAAAGAAACTGCAGGAGTTTCCTCAATCCCTGAAAATTGGCCAGAATACTAGGTCAAACACAGTTTATTAACTCTTTTCTCCTCTTGGTAGAGATAATAAATGTTGCCTTTTCCTTCCCAAAAATGGAAAAATTATTCCCAACTTACTAATGGAGAATGGGAAATCATGTAACATGAAATCTAAGGAAAAGCTGAAACTAAACCAAGATTTCCTAAATCATAATTCCATACTTCAGTTATAAACTTTAATTCTATTTCACATTTTCTTATAATTCAAGACTCATCAGTCTGGCATCACACTGCATTCAAGTATAAAAAGAAGTCTTTCCTTTCTTCTAATTCTCTTAGTGGTTTTGCACACACATTTCGGTGTTGGTCCCATCTTATTAATTATGGCTACTAAGTTATAAACTGCCCTTGGGAAAGGTAGGATTGAAGGAGTTGCATTTTGGCATGCAAGTGATGAGGTCGTTTGTGGTCTCTCTCACTTCCTCCACAGGAGAATTCAAGAATTCCTGATCCTGCGGGGAGAACCTTGTCCCTTGAGAAAAGAGCTCTGCTTCTGATGAAGGCACTAAAACTGACCGGAAGTACAATATTTCTGTTTTATTGCAAATCTGCAAAATTCTGTGGAAAGAAATGTGTTGCAATAATACATGGAAATTATCAAGGAAAGGAAATTATAAAGGAAAGCATCATTATTAAAATAACAAACCCTTCCTTTTTAAAAAATTCAGTGTAAAACTGAACCGACTCCCTCACTCTCAGCACAGCTGTATTTCCAAGTATTACTGGGATATCAGAAGGAAACAAAAGTTGGAATATCTCACAGTTAGACAATGTTCAGCTGTTTAAATGCCCCCCAAAGGCTGTTACTAGCTAAGACTGGTTAGAATAACATAGATGCTCTTCCAAACACATGGTAAGAACTACCACAGTGTTGGAAAGCAAAATGGACTTTTTTCTCCCTACTTTCTTGTCTCCTTCATACAGAATAGTTTATCCAGCTGAAAAGCCGAGTAAGACAGTGCAATTTCACTTAAGTTGGAATTGTTTCTCTTATTATTTGCTTCTAATTCATATTTGATGAATGACACCAAAAATGTCATCCTTTAAGAAACGAGGACTGCTTTGCTACCTGGTCCTCACCAATGCTGTGAGCACATATAACTGGCATTTCTATCTTAGTGTCCAAATCTGTACTTAGTACTCAGAACGCACTCAGATTAACGGAAAAAGTTCTTTTAACTTATGTGGTCTTTGGACCAAGGACAAATCTTGCCAGCTGTACAGAATAGTTTGGCACCATACTATCTTAGCAGGAGTCTGGATTGCTTCTGAATGCAGACAGCTGTTAATGCCAGTGAATTGGAGGACACCACCACAAGAAGTAATTCTTGACATGCTCTGAAGCAATCTGACTGACCATCTGAATGGGCACAACTGCTCACTGCTGGGAAAAGCTACTGTTCCTACACTCCAAGATACACATAACAGCAAGTCTCAAGGCAACACAAGTTTTAGCAGGGAAAGCCAAGGCAGTATTTCAGCATACCTGATTTTGACTTCAGGACAATCTGAATTGAATGCCCGTCGTTGATCACTTCACAGTCACGACACACTACGTAGTTCGGTGACAAACGCACTTCCAGGAGCGAGGGGTCATATTTAGCTTCTCTCGAGTTCAAGTTAATGGGCGACTGGTACTCCCCGTTAGCATCGGGGAAAATCAGCCCCCACTCCACTCCTGAGGCACAAGGGAAAAGCTGTTACGGGGGGACCCGGCACCCTGCGCTGTGGGACAGCCAGACCCTCCCTGCGGCGCTCCACCGCTGCTCCAGGGGCTGCTTCCCCGCACCCCAGCCCGCCGGACCCGGACACGGGCCGCACCCGCCGCCCCCGCGCTGCCCTCCCTTGGCGGGGACCGGCTGTCCCCGCTGCAGGACGGGCTTCCCCGCTCCCGCACCTCAGGGCGGCCCGGGGGGGGAACCTCCTTTCTCTCCGCCACTGAAAATCCCCTCGCCATCTCCTCTCCCCCGGCCGCGTCAAAGTTTTTCCTCGGTGGGAGCGCTCCCGCTCCTCACCTGTCTCGTAGCCCACTCCGGAGCCTCCTCCCGGCGCGGCGGGACTCGGCGCCCTCGATCAGGCTCTGTCGCCATGGGGCGGGCGCCCCGGGAGCCCGGCGGGGTGTGCGGTGTGTGAAGTGTGCGGGGCGAGGCTGGCTGGCGGCGCTCCGCACCAAGGCTCGGACCTCCCTCCCTCCCGCCCTCCGCCCCCGCCCGCGGCTGTCGGCGTGCCGCAGGGAGGCGTGGGGAAGGGGCAGGGAAGGGGCAGGGGAAGGCAGGGAAGGGCAGGGGAAGGGGCAGGGGGGCAGGGGCGCGCGGGTGAGGCCGGCAGCCGGTCACTGTCCCAAAGGGGCGGTGGGGCGGGAGAGGGGTGAGATGACAGCCGCTGCCCGGGCTGGCCTCTCCTGAGGGATGCTAATCTCCTGGTCCTTCCTGCGTCTTCTTCGCCTTCCCCCGCGGGCTGCTCCCGTCGCCTGGGGACGGGATGTGTGCGCTGCCCCTCCAGCTGTGGCACAGGAGGTCTGTGCGCCCGGGAGAGCAACTTCAATAAAGGGAAGGGCAAAGCCCTGCCACTGGGGAGGAACAACCCGGGCGCCGGGACAGGCTATGGGCCGCCTGGCTGGAATGCACACCTGTGAGTCCTGGTGGGCATCAGGTCGGACATGAGCCAGCAGTGTGCCCTTGCCGCAAAGAAGGTGAATGATACCTTGGGCTGCATTAGGCAAAGCAATGCCACTAAGTCAAGGAAGGCGATCCTGCCCCTCTGCTAACAGCTGGTGAGGCCACACCTGGGGTGCTGGGTCTAAATCTAGGCTGTCCCAGAACAAGAGACATGGACCTACTGGAGAGAGTCCAACAATGGGTCATGAACATGGTTAAGGTACTGGACCACCTCTCCTATGAGGAAAAGCTGAGAGAGCTGGAACTGTTCAGCCTGGAGAGGAAGAGGCTCAAGGGGACCTCATAAGATACATACGAATACCTAAATGAAAGATGCAAAGAGAACAGAGATAGGCTCCTTTCAGCGGTGCCCAGTAACAGGACCAGTGGTGATGGGCACAAACTGAAACATGAGGTTCCTTCTGAGCATCAGGAAATACTTTTTCATGTAAGAATGACTAAACCCTAGCACAGGTTGCCCAGGGAGGTTGTGGAGTCTCCATCCATGGAGGTATTCATCTGAACAGAGTCCTGGGGAACTTGTCCTGGGCAGCCCTGCTTGAGCAGGTGATTTGGACAAGGTAATCTCCAGAAGTCCCTTGCAATCTTAGCCATTCTGTGATTCTGTGGTTACTCCTCACCCCACAGAACTGTGCCTGTCCTGTACAAGGATGGAGGCTCTCATGAGAGTAAGGCAATCACTGAATAAGCAAGGGAGCCATACTCTGTCCCTTTGGTCCTGAAGGAGAGTTGAAACATCTTTATAAAGACCCCTTCACTTAGGCCAGATCCAGAAGTGTGGCATCAGCTCCTCCTGCAGATTATATAAGAGGTAGGGTTTGAGAAAAGTCTCTCCCCAACATAAAGGTGCCTCAGTTCAAGCTTATGAAAGGACCTTTCCTTCTCCTTTGACGAAAACCATGCATGGAACTAGGAAACATTCATTCTGTCAAGGGAAAAAAGGAACAGAAGGGACCTCTGGTAGAGATCTCTTCTAGGCAGTGGTCCAAACACTTGCGTCAGTGAATGCAAGGGGAATGGGAACCCAGTATCAACGGTCTGAAATCCCTGACAGCAACCAGAAAAGGCAACAGAGGCAGTCAAATAGCATTGCCATAATGGTAAAGGGGAGGTGCCCTTTGCTTACCATCCTTGTCCACTTAAAGACAGTGACCAGGTCTCCCTGCATTCTGGTATCCCAAGAGGATAACATCTTGATCCTGTGCTGTTGATCCACCAGGTTTGATCTAGGTGTGGACCTCATTGTGCTTCAGTGTTGCCCAAATCAGCAGCAGTACCTGCGCTCTCTGTGCAGCACTGGCATGGGAGCAGAAATTATCATCAGTGTGAATGTGAGATGAAAGGAGAAGGACTGAAATGAAACTTCATTAATGAAGCAAGAGACTACTGGTTCATGAGCTGCATGCAAGGTGAAAAGAAAATAGGACAAAACAAGTAGAATGTACTAGGTTGGGGTTTTTTCAAAATCAGCAGAGAAACACAGGTTTCCTTCTACAACATCCTTAGTTACTCTCTTCACTATTGATGGTTGAAAGGAATATATACTACCCAAACAAAGTACAACCATGGTGCAGCTTACAGAGGCAAAAAAAAGCAAATAGATGTTTTTCATATAGTGAGAACCCGACATCAGTACAAACAAAAATCAGATTTTAACATACATTTTAGTCACATGAGGTATGATGTTGTCTATGCATACCCATCTCCCATACCAAATTGTCTTTATTAGTTGTTATGTTTTATCCCCTAATCACATCTTAAACCCACACTAGCTGCTTCTATTAATGTCAATCCCTTTGAATCATTGCTCAACCACATGGGGAAAAAGCAAACATTCCCCTAAATCATCACTGATTGTGGTCCATTTGACTGGAAATTCATTTTCCTCTTCAGATTCTCATATTTTGGAAAAAAACCAAGCAGTCCTAGGAGGCTGGGCTCATTCCCTTACTCCTTGAAATACTGTATTTCATTCATGCCCTCTATTAAGTCCTTTCCTGCAGTAGCTTTCCTGTGGGATGTCTAGAATTTTGTGCTTATGAGGGGCAACATTATTAGACCTATAAGTTCCTGTTTTGCAATAAACACTTTTCATGGTTTTCCATAGTTTTGATGGTTTCCATTCATAACTGAACTTAAGAACTAAACAACATACATTTTTTGCCCTTCCTTTTAACCTTTACATTCTTTCCAAAGTTTACTGAATAGTTGGGATTTCTTTATTCTCGTACATCTGCTGAGTAGTTTTCTGTTCATATATCCTGTTCCTTCCATAGTATCTGTCAGGCATAGCATGATCTAATCAACAGATTAGATTCCACTGAAGATTCCTGCAACTTCTTTAGTGGTGAAGTGTGTAAGTAACAATGGAGTTTGTCTCTTCATAATGAAACGGAGCATGGAACAGACCTCTTACATTAAACTCCAACCACAAATGCACCTGACCCATCTCTGCACAAACCAACTCGTTCATTTAGGAGCTCAGCTTCAAGTAAAAGGATTGAGACAATCAGATGGAGACAGTGGCACGATCTAGGCCTTGTTCAAGATCTGTAGGATTTGATCTCCTTTAATGATTTAGGCACACCTAAAATTTCTCTGTAGATGTTCCCAATAGTTGAACTTACTATGAAAAGATGTTAAATATATAATACATATAAATACACTCTTTATTCTGTAAAAGTTCATTGCTCATGGTGGCTCAGCACACTGATAAATCTGTAGGGAGGCACAGTTATGGTCCTCAAGCTACTATTAAACAGATGGGCAAAAAGTAGGAGAAGCCCAGCCAACATGACCTTCATAAGTGACATAATACCTCACCAAAAGAAACAGGAGCAGGGTACCTCTCTCCCAAATCCCAGTTCAGCCTTTAATTCTGTGGAACCTGCTGACTTCTTGTTTAATTGGGATTAATGGTCATACCCTTTGATGATAGCAGGGAAAAAAAGCTCAGGCACAGATCCAGGGCTTAATAGTTCCTCTTTGAACTCACACGACAGAAGTTCAGAAGCAGTGTAGTCTCTGATATTCCTTTTTATCAAACAAGAAAAGGCATTTTGAAACATTGTTGATATAATACTTAATCCTGGTAAGATTGCAAGAAACTATTCTTGTGTTTCCTATATCTAGATATTATTATTTTCTCGAGAGTCACTGATTTTTCTTCAACAGAGAGTATACCTTCCCCAAACACCTTAAAATGTATATACTCAGAAAACCAGGCCTGAACCAGAATTCTGCATCCAAAAACTATGCAATTTCTATGTATAAATCATCATTAATGACTAGCAACATTTTTAAGAGGTTATATTTCCACAACTGTACGTACTGCTTTCACCACTCCAAAAGGGAGAGTCCAATGCAGGCAACTGTACAGGTTAATAAGAAATCTACAGGAAAAAATCCAGAATTACATACAAGTTATTTTAAACTATACATTTCTACCTCCAGGATTCTTTCCAGGCCATAGAACTGACAGTTATTTCTCTGATTCGAGGGATGAGAAATTCAGACTGTGAGATGATCATATTTCTTTTATTATCCACTTTTTTCTTTATTACCTTTCTGCCAGCCTAGAGTAGTTGAGGGCACATAGGACTTAATATTTTGGTAAGGAGATAAATATTCTGTGGGATAATAGAGCATTCCATTTTAGGCAATTTAGAGTCTGTTTATGCTTCTCTAAGCCAAATCTGAGCTCTTGTTGAGGTGTTCTGAAAGAAAAGGCGATGTCCATAGAGGAAGACAGGCAACTGAAGGGACCAAGAGCATCTAGTTTTTTCAGTGAATAAGGCTTCCTATTTTGTGTCCTGTATTGACTATGAGGTTGACCAGCAATCATCTCTCTCCTGGTCTTGTTTCTATCTTTATTTCTTACCAGGCTACTCTCTCCAATGCGTTTTATTCTTTTCCAAATTTAGAAGCATAAGCAGAAAGTTTCTGTGTTTGAACATTAAAGCATAAGCTTATATGTAACAACATTGAAAATCTCTCTACATGTTTTAAAAGGAACTAGTTCATTACAAGAAATAATATTCCAGTATTCCTGGAATAATATTATTTCCTTTTTTTTTTTCTGCAGCTGAAGTATGTGTTACAAAAAGGAAAAGGATGGTTGGGTAGTTTAAATAGTTCAAGATGAAAAGGTAAAGGGAGACCATTTTCAATAAAGGGACCATTTATAGCAAAAAGAAACCATTCATAGTGAAAGACACCATATGTTTGCAAGTGAGGTTTACATTGGCAAATGCCATCATGCAAACATTGCAAAAATATG